CATCTGAAGCTCTGTAGAGTTTTATAGGGCAAAACCAGCACCTTGAATTGGAAGCTGGTGCAAGCAGGCAATAACTGGTGTGTATGAATAACCATAGTTTAGAGGTCCCGGGCCCTAAGGAAGTCAGACTATCCTGCACCAGGGCCAGGGCCTTCTCAGTGGTGGCTCCGATCTGGTGGAATGTTCTGTCCCATAAGACCAGGGCCCTGCAGGATTTAACTTCCTTCCGCAGGGCCTGTAAGATAGAGCTATTCCGCCTGGCTTTCAATTTGAACTCAGCCTGATCTTTTATTCCCCTTCTTTCCGTCCCCCTCACCTTTTTATGAAGGTAACCCACTCTGGGAACCCACAGCTAATTCTCCCCTGGTCTCCCTGCTGGCCCAAGTAGGACTAATTTAGCCAGCTAGCCCTGGTGATTATCTAATGTTTATTGGATGGATTTTCCCCCTAATTGGATTTTTGAATTCTGAATTTATTGTTATTCCCGTATAAATATAAATTTATTATTATTATGGGTTCATAGAATGCCTGGTCCCAGCTGTTGCCATATTTTCCATCACCTGCTGTTTCTGAACCATCTCTCCAAGGTAGGCTCACTTGTAAAGCATGATGGTAACCCAAGGCAGAGGCTGCCCCAGCGTGGATCATTGCAGCTTGATTTTCCACCTTGTGGCCTTGGACTGGCTGGAGGAGGAGTGGTGGGAGACACCAGCCAGGGAACCCCCAAGGGAAATCCCAGAGGAGGAAGGCTTGGAGCCCAGGGATTGATGGTGGGCTACAGAGGAGAGGTCAGAGGGGGAGGAGGGACTGGATATTGACGCAACAACAGGGTTTGGTGACCAGGAAGAACCTGTGACGGAGCAGTTCAGACTCCGAGGCTGAAGCAGAGGACGGAGGTCAAGAGACTGCTGAAGAATCCTGGGAAACTCCCTCTCCAGCTCCAGGAGAGAGCCAAACAGAGGCCAAAGGTGTACAGGCACAGTTTGTAGCTGCTTGGGAAACATCGGGGAGAGGAAGAGCCTTGGTAGGGGTGGAAGGCAGGGACCTTCAGTCCTGGTAACTGCTCCATAAGGGCAAGACCTGCTAGGAAGCGTTGCTGAGTTGTATGCCGTTTCCTTGAATAAAGAGTGAACTGCAGTCGTACCTTGGATCCCAAATGCCTTGGTACTTGGATATTTTGGCTCCCGGACACTGCAAACCCGGAAGTGACTGTTCTAGTTTGCGAACATTTGTCTGACGGGGCTTCCACAGCTTCCGATTGGCTGCAGGAGCTTCCTACATCCAATCAGAAGCAGCCCTTTGGTTTTCGAATGTTTTCAGAAGTCAAACGGACATCTGGAATGGATTCCGTTTGACTTCCTTCTTTTAATATAATTTTTATTAATTTTCACTTTAAACAAAGAAAAAACAATAAATTTCAACAATCATTCAGATAACTTCTTTTCCACCACTCTGCCGAGCGAAGACTTCCCTCCCGCCAACCGGTTTTCCTATTATGGTCCATATCTCACAGTTTCCTTATATTTTGTCAAGTCCACATTGTAAGACTTATTTCAGTCCTGCTAATGCCTTCAGACTTCTACAGTTATTATTTATATACTCTATATATTTACTCCAATCTTTTTGGAATTTTGATTCCTCCTGATTTCGGATTCTGCAGGTCAGTTTTGCTAATTCTGCATAATCCATCATTTTCATCTGCCACTCCTCCACCATTGGTAAATTCGGTAATTTCCACTTTGGGGCTATTAAAATTCTGGCAGCAGTTGTTGCATACATAAATAATCTTTGGTCCCCCTTTGCAATTTCCTTTCCTATCAAGCCCAGCAGAAAAGCTTCCGGCTTTTGGGGAAAGGTATACTTAAACATATTTTTCAATTCGTTGTGCATCCAATCAGAACCAGCGCTTTGGTTTTCGAATGTTTTCAGAAATCAAACGGACTTCTGGAATGGATACCGTTTGACTTCCAAGGTACGACTGTACACTGACAACTGAATTTGACCTCTTTGTTCTGACCCACATCTAACTCCAACCTTGACATAGAGTGACAACCTGGATACCAGGCTAGGCGGCTAAAATATGCTTTATGCCACTTGAACTTCTGGTGACAATGATGGAAGCCAAGAACTCGCCTGAGCTTATCCTTCAGTGGTCTGCCAAAAAAAACAACATCCCTGGATTTCCGCCCCCCCCCCTCATTTGCTGCTCTTGTATTTCTTGCTCCCACCCACCAAGCACTTGTTGTTTATTTGGCTTTCTTTCCACTGACTTCATTCTTCATGAGTACCCCCACCCCATAAATCCCTTAAGGCCTTAAACTGCAGCATAATCCAGCTACAAATCCCACCTGGAGCTGTCAGGCCCAACGAGTCCAGACATCCCTCTTGTGCATTCCTCCGATGCCTTCGCAAATCCTCCAAGCCTCTCCTTTGAAAATGCTCCGATTGGAGGGGGGGAAACGCGCCCAAACTTCTGGCTGCTTTGACTGAAACAGGAATAGCTAAAGCTAAATTAACTGCTTTTATGCAGAACGTAGGGGCTGTGACTCAACCCCACCCTCAGCCTCAACACCCCCAGAGCTCCCCTTCCCACCCCATCCAGTGCTATTTTTCTAGAAAAAAAGGTGCAGCAACTTGCCATCATCATCATTTATTATTTGTACCCTGCCCATCTGGCTGGGTCTCCCCAGCCACTCTGGGCAGCTTCCAACAAAGATTAAAAATACATTAAAATGTCACACATTAAAAACTTCCCTAAACAGGGCTGCCTTCAAATGTCTTCTAGATGTCAGGTAGTTGTTTATCTCTTTGACATCTGATGGGAGGGCGTTCCACAGGGCGGGTGCCACCACCGAGAAGGCCCTCTGCCTGGTTCCCTGTAGCTTTGCTTCTCGCAGTGAGGGAACCGCCAGAAGGCCCTCGGAGCTGGACCTCAGTGTCCAGGCAGAATGATGGGGGTGGAGACGTTCCTTCATCTTTCTTGTTATCTTATACAGTGGTACCTCGGTTAAGTACATTATTCGTTCCGAAGGTCCGTTCTTAACCTGAAATTGTTCTTAACCTGAAGCACCACTTTAGCTCATGGGGCCTCCCACTGCCGCCGCTGTGCAATTTCTGTTCTTATCCTGAAGCTAAGTTCTTAACCTGAGGTACTCTTTCTGGGTTAGTGGAGTCTGTAACCTGAAGCGTCTGTAACCGGAGGTACCACTGTAATGGTGATGGCACCCACCTAAGAGGTGCCCGGAATTCAGTTTCAGAGAGTTCCTGCTGGAAAAAAAAGCCCTGCATGGAGCTCCTAAGCTTGCTTTTCACTTTCCTAACTCCATTTGTGAAGCCACTTCTGTTCCGCAGCCTGCTCTGCACCCATTTTTACTTTCATGCCCATCTCTCCTCCCCCCCCTTAGAAACCTGTATCTTCCTCCTTCCATACACTGCAGCTAATAAGCACATTTCCACCTCCCAACCAATTACAAAGCCACAATCCTCAGCTATTCTTCAGGCTCTTTCGTGCCCCTGCTTTCATCTTCACCCCCATTCCTACGCCTCCTACTCCCTCCTTTTTTGCAACCCCCTTTGTACCCCGATGTTCACCTTCACCCTTCTTATCTCCCCCTCCTCACTTTCCTCAACTCTCCCTTTCCCCATTTCCATGCACGATTCTCTTTCCTATTCCACAGCCCCCTTTGCACACATATAATGATGATCTATATTATTATATATATTTTTAAGACGAACAGAATCTTAACCACAAGCCTGTAAATTAAGTGTTCTATTAGGGAATGCTAATCCCGGCGTGTGGGTGTTATACGCATAGGGGCGTTTAAAAGAAATCTTCTAAATCTTCTAAATGTGGAACTTCGCCTTGGAGGCACCACATGGTCTTCAGGATCATAGCTGTCAACGTTTCCCTTTTTTGAAGGGAAATTCCCTTATTCCGAATAGGATTCCTCGCAAGAAAAGGGAAAAGTTGACAGCTATCTTCAAGATACCGTGCGAGTTTTTGACAGCTGAAATCCAGTTTTAAATTGTTGCCGGATCAAAGGGGCCGGCATTGAACCCCCTCGACCAATCCCTTTGGCTGGGAGGCGGAGCCTAAGGAAAACCAAAAGGCAGGGATGGAACGCTCTCGACCAATCCCTTTGGCTGGGAGGCGGAGCCTAAGGAAAACCAAAAGGCAGGGATGGAACGCCCTGGACCAATCCCTTTGGCTGGGAGGCGGAGCCTAAGGAAAACCAAAAGGCAGGGATGGAACGCCCTGGACCAATCCCTTTGGCTGGGAGGCGGAGCCTAAGGAAAACCAAAAGGCAGGGATGGAACGCCCTGGACCAATCCCTTTGGCTGGGAGGCGGAGCCTAAGGAAAACCAAAAGGCAGGGATGGAACGCCCTGGACCAATCCCTTTGGCTGGGAGGCGGAGCCTAAGGAAAACCAAAAGGCAGGGATGGAACGCTCTCGACCAATCCCTTTGGCTGGGAGGCGGAGCCTAAGGAAAACCAAAAGGCAGGGATGGAACGCCCTCGACCAATCCCTCGGCTGGGAGGCGGAGCCTAAGGAAAACCAAAAGGCAGGGATGGAACGCCCTCGACCAATCCCTTTGGCTGGGAGGCGGAGCCTAAGGAAAACCAAAAGGCAGGGATGGAACGCGCTCGACCAATCCCTTTGGCTGGGAGGCGGAGCCTAAGGAAAACCAAAAGGCAGGGATGGAACGCCCTGGACCAATCCCTTTGGCTGGGAGGCGGAGCCTAAGGAAAACCAAAAGGCAGGGATGGAACGCCCTGGACCAATCCCTTTGGCTGGGAGGCGGAGCCTAAGGAAAACCAAAAGGCAGGGATGGAACGCCCTCGACCAATCCCTTTGGCTGGGAGGCGGAGCCTAAGGAAAACCAAAAGGCAGGGATGGAACGCCCTCGACCAATCCCTCGGCTGGGAGGCGGAGCCAATGCCGAATTGGCTCAAAAGCTCGGCAAGGCAAGGAAGTGAGGGCAGGTGTGCGCGTGCGCGGACCGCTTTACGGCAGCGAGGCGGCGGTTGCCCGTCAGTGCCGCCTTCTTCCGCCCTTCTCCTTTCGCGACGGCGTCGTGAAGACGGAGGGCGCTTGACGGCCAGCCGGAGAGACAACTTGTGGGGAGCCGTGAGGGGGGCAGCGTCGCCATGAGGCAGAAGAAGAAAGGTAAAGGCGGTTGGCAGTGGGGGGGGTCACGTGTTGACGGGGAGGGGCCGGTTTCTCCTCTCACCCCCACTTTCTGTGGGGATTTTTTTTTGGGGGGGTCTTTCTCTGAGGCTCCCTCCCCCCCCTCAGTTCAGGGGGGGCGCCTCGCGAGAGAGGCAGCAGGCCTCCCTCCTCCTCGTTCTCCCCCCAACAGTTTCAGGATCAGGCAGAAATCCTTCAGGTGCTGCTGGGGGGGGGAGAGAAGGGAAAGAGGGGGGAGAACTTCGGGACTCCCTGCCTCATGATATATATATATATATATATTTGTTGTTGTTGTTTAGCCGTTTAGTCGTGTCCGACTCTTCGTGACCCCATGGACAAGAGCACGCCAGGCACCTCTGTCCTCCACTACTTCCCGCAGTTTGGTCAGACTCATGCTGGTAACCTCGAAAACACTATCCAACCATCTCGTCCTCTGTCGCCCCCTTCTCCTTGTGCCCTCCATCTTTCCCAGCATCAGTGTCTTCTCCAGGGAGTCTTCTCTTCTCATGAGGTGGCCAAAGTATTGGAGCCTCAGCTTCAGGATCTGTCCTTCCAGTGAGCACTCAGGGCTGATTTCCTTAAGAATGGATGCGTTTGATCTTCTTGCAGTCCATGGGACTCTCAAGAGTCTCCTCCAGCACCATAATTCAAAAGCATCAATTCTTCGGCGATCAGCCTTCTTGATGGTCCAGCTCTCACTTCCATACATCACTACTGGGAAAACCATGGCTTTAACTATACGGACCTTTGTTGGCAAGGTGACGTCTCTACTTCTCAAGATGCTGTCTAGGCCTGTCATTGCCCTTCTCCCAAGAAGAAGGCGTCTTTTAATTTCGTGGCTGCTGTCACCATCTGCAGTGATCATGGAGCCCAAGAAAGTAAAATCTCTCACTGCCTCCATTTCTTCCCCTTCTATTTGCCAGGAGGTGATGGGACCAGTGGCCATGATCTTCGTTTTTTTGATGTTGAGCTTCAGACCATATTTTGCGCTCTCCTCTTTCACCCTCATTAAAAGGTTCTTTAATTCCTCCTCACTTTCTGCCATCAAGGTTGTGTCATCTGCATATCTGAGGTTGTTGATATTTCTTCCGGCAATCTTAATTCCAGCTTGGGATTCATCCAGCCCAGCCTTTCGCATGATGTATTCTGCATATAAATTAAATAAGCAGGGAGACAAAATACAGCCTTGTCGTACTCCTTTCCCAATTTTGAACCAATCAGTTGTTCCATATCCAGTTCTAACTGTAGCTTCTTGTCCCACATAGAGATTTCTCAGGAGACAGATGAGGTGATCAGGCACTCCCATTTCTTTAAGAACTTGCCATAGTTTGCTGTGGTCGACACAGTCAAAGGCTTTTGCATAGTCAATGAAGCAGAAGTAGATGTCTTTCTGGAACTCTCTAGCTTTCTCCATAATCCAGCGCATGTTTGCAATTTGGTCTCTGGTTCCTCTGCCTCTTCTAAATCCAGCTTGCACTTCTGGGAGTTCTCGATCCACATACTGCTTAAGCCTTCCTTGTAGAATTTTAAGCATAACCTTGCTAGCGTGTGAAATGAGTGCAATTGTGCGGTAGTTGGAGCATTCTTTGGCACTACCCTTCTTTGGGACTGGGATGTAGACTGATCTTCTCCAATCTTCTGGCCACTGCTGAGTTTTCCAAATTTGCTGGCATATTGAGTGTAGCACCTTAACAGCATCATCTTTTAAAATTTTAAATAGTTCAGCTGGAATACCATCACTTCCACTGGCCTTGTTATTTGCAGTGCTTTCTAAGGCCCATTTGACTTCACTCTCCAGGATGTCTGGCTCAAGGTCAGCAACCACACTACCTGGGGTGTATGAGACATCCATATCTTTCTGGTATAATTCTTCTGTGTATTCTTGCCACCTCTTCTTGATGTCTTCTGCTTCTGTTAGGTCCTTACCACTTTTGTCCTTTATTATGGTAATCTTTGTACGAAATGTTCCTTTCATATCTCCAATTTTCTTGAACAGATCTCTGGTTCTTCCCATTCTGTTGTTTTCCTCTATTTGTTTGCATTGCTCGTTTAAGAAGGCCTTCTTGTCTCTCCTTGCTATTCTTTGGAAACCTGCATTCAATTTCCTGTATCTTTCACTATCTCCCTCGCATTTTGCTTGCCTTCTCTCCTCCGCTATTTGTAAGGCCTCGTTGGACAGCCACTTTGCTTTCTTGCATTTCCTTTTCATTGGGATGGTTTTCGTTGCTGCCTCCTGTACAATGTTACGAGCCTCCATCCATAGTTCTTCAGGCACTCTGTCCACCAAATCTAAATCCTTAAACCTGTTCCTCACTTCCACTGTGTATTCATAAGGGATTTGACTTAGATTGTATCTTACCGGCCCAGTGGTTTTTCCTACTTTCTTCAGTTTAAGCTTGAATTTTGCTATAAGAAGCTGATGATCTGAGCCACAGTCAGCTCCAGGTCTTGTTTTTGCTGACTGTATAGAGCTTCTCCATCTTTGGCTGCAGAGAATATAATCAATCTGATTTCGATGCTGCCCATCTGGTGATGTCCATGTGTAGAGTCGTCTCTTGTGTTGTTGGAAAAGCGTGTTTGTGATGACCAGCTTGTTCTCTTGACAGAACTCTATTAGCCTTTGCCCTGCTTCGTTTTGATCTCCAAGGCCAAACTTGCCAGTTGTTCCTTTTATCTCTTGCCTCCCTACTTTAGCATTCCAATCCCCTATAATGAGAAGAACATCCTTCTTTGGTGTCACTTCTATAAGGTGTTGTAAGTCTTCATAGAATTGGTCAATTTCAGTTTCTTCAGCACCAGTAGTTGGTGCATAAACTTGGATTACTGTGATGTTAAAAGGTCTGCCTTGGATTCGTATCGAGATCATTCTATCATTTTTGAGATTGCATCCCAGTACAGCTTTCGCCACTCTTTTGTTGACTATGAGGGCCACTCCATTTCTTTTACGGGTTTCTTGCCCACAGTAGTAGATGTGATGGTCATCCGAACTGAATTCGCCCATTCCCGTTCATTTTAGTTCACTGATGCCCAGGATGTCAATATTTATTCTTGCCATCTCATTTTTGACCACCTCCAACTTACCCAGGTTCATCGATGTAACATAAGAACATAATTAAATAAATAAAATTCATATATATATATATATAGATATATATAGATATATATATATATATATATATATATATATATATGCTTTCGTAGATTTTCACGGGTACAGGCTTCCCGTGTAAAAGTTGGGGTGTCTAGGCGACGTTTCGACGAGGTCTCACTCGTCATCTTCAGGCTGGTGCTTTCGGCTTCTTGTTACTGGAACAGAGCAGGATCTCAGTGTTTGAGTTCCTATAAATACTGTTGAGGGGGTGTGGTGTATAGCCTCCAATGTTCTGGGCAGAGAGGAAGTTCCCAGGTTAGTGTGCCTTTTCTTCTTTTGTTCCTTAATTACTTGAGGGATATCTTGAGTGATTTCTTGAGTGATATCCTGAGTACCACTTAGGTGGGTCATTAGGTGTGGATTAGTTGCTAAAGCCTTCGTGTCTTGACCTCTTGAACTTTGTGAAGAGTTTTTCTGAGAAGATGGCTGTACTGCAATTAGTTGTGCTCTGGCTTGGCTTCGTGTATAGGGGCGAGCTGTGGTTTTGTGTCCTGTGCCAGCCAGATCTGTGTAGGGATTGCAGGGGGGTGCAGCATCCGGAGGTGCCACCATGGTTTGGCTACTGGATGGTGTCTGTAATTTATCTGTGGAGAGGGTCTGGGTTTGGGTCTGGTGTGGTTGATTGGTGATGGCGTTCTGTGTGCCTCTGGATCTGGTGTCGGTTTTTGTGGGGAGGGCTAATTTCCAGATGTCTGGCAGGCGGGATGTGTCGTCACGCTTGTTCATGTTGTGAGGGTGTTTCTCTATCTCGATGGCTTCCATGATTATTCTCTTGTGGTGATGTTCCATGTTAGAGAGCAATTTGGAATCTGCAAAATTAATTTCGTGTCCTGTTTCTTTCATGTGTTGGAAAAGAGAGGAAGTTTTTTCTTCTTTTTTGACGGCATTCTTGTGTTCTGCGATACGTGCATTTATTCGTCTGTTTGTTTGTCCAATGTACGTGGCTGGGCAGACTTTGCAGGGTATTTCATAGACCCCTTGGTTTTCCAACTGGATTTTATCCTTGGGGTTTCTGAGGATATTGGCTATTTTTTGGTTGGTGCAAAAGGCTGTTTTGATATTGTGTTTATGGAGGATTTTGCTAATTTTATCTTATATGAATTTTATTTATTTAATTATGTTCTTATGTTACATCGGTAGACATTATCATATTGCATCGCAAGGCTTATTATAGTATAAATTTCAACATGCATAGAAATCCTTCAGGTGCTGCTTGGGGAAGAACTTCGGGACTCCCTGCCTCATGATCTTTATTTAGTTTATTTATTTATTTATTAAAGTTCTTATGTTATATCGGCACACGTTCTCATATTACAGTGGTACCTCAGCTTAAGTACTTAATTCGTTCCGGACGTCCGTTCTTAACCTGAAACTGTTCTTAACCTGAAGCACCACTTTAGCTAATGGGGCCTCTTGCTGCTGCCGCGCCACCGCTGCACGATTTCTGTTCTCATCCTGAAGCAAAGTTCTTAGCCTGAAGCACTATTTCTGGCTTAGTGGAGTGTGCAACCTGAAGCATATGTAACCTGAAGCGTATGTAAGCCGAGGTACCACTGTACATCACAAGGCTCATTATACTATAATTTTCAACATGTATAGAAATCCTTCAGGTGCTGCTTGGGGGAGAACTTCGGGACTCCCTGCCTCATGATATTTATTTATTTAATAAAGTTCTTACGTTACACCGGTAAACTTTATCAGATTACATCACAAGGCTTATTATACCATAATTTTCAACATGCATACAAAGTTTATATACTAAAAGGGAAGAAAAACAAGGACAAAAACTATTCCAAAATCATATATGTACCAAAACTTCCGACTTCCTGTCTATCCCATTGTATATTCCTTTTTTACAAATGAATGTACTCTTATTATTGTATATTTCTTTACATTTTATCTAATACATTCCTATATCCATATGTACCCTTGGTCTTATTTCTCAACTCAGTCTCTCTCCAACGTCAATCGGATGCTAGCAAAGATAGCGAACCTTTACTGTATTTTTGAACGTATATCTTATATATATCCCACTTTCCCATAAATTTTTGTTTTGAGTTGCCTCTCCGGCTATTTGTCAACTGCGCCATTTCAGCAAATTCTTGTAGCTTGTTATGCCAGTCCATTATTGTCGGGGCTTCTTCTTCCTTCCACCCCTTTGCCACCAAAGTCCGAGCTGCAGCCGTTGCATATAAAAATACCTCCCTAAAGGCATTTGGGATGGGACTCCCTGCCTCATGATTAGTGGGCGGGCGCCTTCGCTGTGCCCTTTTCCGGTTAGGCTTGGGGCTGCCTCTGAAAAGCAGAAAGACCAGGCGGCCCCAAAGAGGTTGCTGGTTATAGGAGCAGGCTTCATAGGTCTATATGTCACAGAAGAGGAGAGCTGGAAGGGACCCCGACGGTTATCTAGTCCAGCCCCTTGTAATGCTGCTGTGGAGAAGGGGGCTCCACTCTGCTGGCTATGGGTCTGTTTCTGGGCAGAGGTCAAAGTGCTGGCACCTGTTGTGGGAAGCTCCCAAGCAGGACCCGAGTGCGAATGCAGCAACCGGCAGCCTTTTGCTTCTTGTTGCAATGGCCTCGGTCCAGTATTCCTGAAAGAGCGTCTTCACCCCCATCGTTCTGCCCGGACGTTGAGGTCCAGCGCCGAGGGCCTTCTGGCGGTTCCCTCGCTGCGAGAAGCCAAGTTACAGGGAACCAGGCAGAGGGCCTTCTCGGTAGTGGCACCCGCCCTGTGGAACACCCTCCCATCAGATGTCAAAGACATTAACAACTACCTGACATTCAGAAGGCATCTTAAGGCAGCCCTGTTTAGGGACGTTTTTAATGTGTGACATCTTAGTGTATTTTTGGTGTTTGTGGAAGCCGCCCAGAGTGGCTGGGGAGACCCAGCCAGATGGGCGGGGTACAAATAATAAATAAATAATTTATTTATTTATTTATTTATTTATTTATTTATTTATTTCAGGAGACCTCAGCCGGGCAGAGCTGATGATGATGACCATCTCGGACGTCATCAAGCAGCTCATCGAAGCTCACGACCAGGGCAAAGATGTCAACTTGAACAAGTAAGTTTGGCCGGCCGGCCACCGTCTCCTGCTCTTCTCTCTTTTTTAAAATACATTTTTATTGGTTTTTTAACATTAATTCTAACATTCATACAACATAACTTCTCAACTTATACAAAATTTTAGGACTTCCATCAACACCTCTGATGATTTTCCGTTCTTTCTCACTTATTATGCATTTTTAAATTTCCTGTTACCTTTAATTGTCCTTAACTAATAATTCTCCTCATTATCTTTTTTGCAATATAATACAAAACTTCTTGCAAACTTACTAGCGTAGTTTGCTCATCACAATTGCTTTTCAAATAATCCGTAAATTTACTCCACTCTTCTGAGAATTTCTGGTCCCACAGGTTTCGAATCCTCCCTGTTGGTTTATCTAATTCTGCATAGTCCATCAATTTCATCCTCCATTCTTCTTTCGTCAGTAGTTCTTCTTGCTTCCTTTTTGGTGCCAGTAATATTCTTGCTGCCGGTCTCCTGCTCTTCTCTGCCATTTGTGTATACCCTTTATCCTCCCTGTATAGCACCTCACTAAATCACACTCTCTTCTTTTCAAGGATAAAGACCAAGACAGCTGCAAAGTATGGGCTTTCGGCACAGCCCCGCCTCGTGGACATCATTGCTGCGGTGCCTCCCCAGTATCGCAGAGTGCTGGTTCCCAAACTGAAGGCGAAGCCCATCCGCACTGCTAGTGGGGTAGGCCTGTTCGTTGTTTGATAAGACGGCTTCCTGGTGTTTTAGACTGCAGTGTCCATCAGCCTCATGTAGCGTGGTCAGTGGTTGGGGATGATGGGAATTGTAGTCCGAAACATCTGGAGGCCACGTTCATTATCCCCCGTGTCATCAGTCAGTGTTGTGGTCTAGTGGTCTAGTTGTGGGGTGTGAACCCAGGTGCCTGAAGTTCATACCCTCAATAAGGAGAGGTCTTCACAACAACTAACCCAGACCCTGTGATCATCATCTGAGGGCCTCCTATAAGGAAATTCTGCCCTTGGTATGTTCATTTTCCACCTCTCCTTTTTGATTCTCTGGCCCCGTATCTGCACAAAATTATTATCCCAAAATACAGACATGCTTTTACACTTGCAAGACTGGATGTTTTGCCATCTGCGGTACTTGAGGGTCGATTCCAAAAGATCCCCCCTGAGAAATGTCTTTGCCCCTGTGGAGATGGTAGCACCGAAACAGAGGCCCACATCCTCCTGTCCTGTACTCTCTACAAAGACCTGAGGAACGAGATCATCACCCCACTCATACTAACCATCCCAGGACGCTCAACCACTGCCACAATGTCCTTTCTTCTGTCAGATCAAAATGAGCAGATAACAGCAAAGGTTGCTAGGTTCATAGCAGGGGCAATCAGAATAAGGGCCACTAACTGACTGCTGATTCAGGACTTTAAATTGTGCTCTTATATCAAATTTCCTTTTCTGCCTATACAGTAATGTTTTAATGTTGCTATGGCCATTGGCTAATGCGAATAAGGTTTTATCTATCTCTGTCTGAGGGCCTTCTTCATGTGCCTCCACCATGAGAGGTCCGGAGGGTGGCAACATGGGAACGGGCCTTTTCTGCCGTGTCTCCCCATGTGTGGCATGCTCTCCCCCAAGGAGACTCGTCCGGCACCTTCATTGCCTATCTCCTCATGTTCCCACAGCAGCTTCCCATGTTCCTAAAAATGACTCAGTTGGACACTCATTTCGGTATAGGGCATTCTGCACAGGGCAGGCAGTTGTGAAGTACAGTGGTACCTCGGGTTACATACGCTTCAGGTTACAGACTCCACTAACCCAGAAATATTACCTCAGGTTAAGAACTTTGCTTCAGGAGATGAGAACAGAAATTGTGCTCCGCTGCGCTGCGGCAGCAGGAGGCCCCATTAACTAAAGTGGTGCTTCAGGTTAAGAACAGTTTCAGGTTAAGAACGGACCTCCAGAACGAATTACATACTTAACCCGAGGTACCACTGTACGTACATCTTTCCATTCCTTCAAATGTAATGATTGTGTTATTTTCTTCTCAGGGGAACTGTGATAACTTCTCTGCAATGCTTCTCTCCCTTTTTTCAGATTGCTGTTGTGGCAGTGATGTGTAAGCCTCACAGATGTCCACACATTAACTTCACAGGAAACATTTGTGTGTAAGTAGAGCCTTGGAATAATCAGAAATGTTGGCAGGTTGTGTTGTAGACAACTGAAATGTAAGAACCTAAGAAGAACCCTGAACTGGATCAGGCCCATAGGGACCCATCTAGTCCAGCATCGTGTTTTCACAATGACCAACCAAATCCACCAATGGGAAGTGCTCAGGTAGGATCTAAGTGCAATAGCAGTGCTCTCTGCTTGTGATTCCCACTGCCTCCCGCAGAGGAGGTATATGTCATACAACAGGCATAGGCAAACTCGGCCCTCCAGATGTTTTGGGACTACAACTCCCATCATCCCTGACCACTGGTCCTGTTAGCTAGGGATGATGGGAGTTGTAGTCCCAAAAAACATCTGGAGGGCCGAGTTTCCCTATGCCTGCCATAGAATCACAGAACAGTAGCATTGGAAGAGACCCAAAGGATCATCCAGTCCAACCCCTTGCAGTGCAGCAATCGCAGCTAAATAACGTTCTGGTCTACTGTTCATCTCCCTTGATTAAAAGTGGGACGGGAAGTAAATCTTCATGAATAACTAACTGTTTAAGGAAAGATCTGTACTCATCACTTCAAAGAGAAAGATACAGTGGTACCTTGGGTTAAGAACTTAATTCATTCTGGAGGTCTGTCTTAACCTGAAACTGTTCTTAACCTGAAGCACCACTTTAGCTAATGGGGCCTCCTGCTGCCGCCGCACCGCCAGAGCACGAATTCTACGATATGATACGATATCTTTATTGTCATTGTCCCTTGCAGAACAATGAAATTTAAAAACTACATAAAACTACATAAAAAAATCTGTTCTCATCCTGAAGCAAAGTTCTTAACCCGAGGTACTAGTCCTGGGTTAGCGGAGTCTGTAACCTGAAGTGTATGTAGCCTGAAGCGTATGTAAGCCGAGGTACCACTGTATTTGAATAGTCCCTGACCCCAGCCAGTTGTACAATAATGCACAGTAATTAACTGGAGGCTTCATCCAGGACTAACTAGGGTTGTCCAGTCAACACTCTCTTAGTGGCTTCAGAGTGTCTGACTAGGACCTAGGAGACAGGGGTTCAAATCCACTCTACCATGAAGTTCACTGAATGACCTAAGGCCAGTCACTGCTTCTCAGTCTAACCTTCCTCACAGGGTTATTGTGGGGATTAAATGTGAGAAGGAGGAGAACTGGGTGCCCCACCTTGGAAGAAAGGTGAGAGATAAATGTAATAATGCAAATAGGTAACACAAGCACCTTTCAGTGGGGAATGCCCACCTTGTGGGTTTTCCCTCACTGCTTTTGGGCCCTACAAATGGGCAGAACCTCCTGCTGCCTCCAGATTGTGGAAGAACTCGCCAGCTTTAAACCTGCTTCCCCCCACCCAACCCTGGGTGCTCTCTGGATGTTGCTGGTTCCCATCAAGCCCCAGCCAGCAGAGGTTTTTGTGGTCGGCGATTATGAGACACATCACCCAAATATTTGGAGAGCGCTAAGGTGGGGGGAGGCTAGCTTAAACCGTCTGCCTCTGCTTGACTCTGTTTTTCTCTTGAAAATGCAGGTACTGTCCAGGGGGTCCCGATTCTGACTTTGAGTATTCAACACAGTCTTACACAGGATACGAGGTACTGCTTTAAAGACTCTGTGGGCCCTTCTTCAGGGAAAGTATTGAATCATAGAGTTGGAATAGACCACAAGGGCCATCGAGTCCAACCCCCTGCCAAGCAGGAAACACCATCAGAGCACTCCTGACATATGGTTGTCAAGCCTCTGCTTAAAGACCTCCAAAGAAGGAGACTCCACCACACTCCTTGGCAGCAAATTCCACTGTCAAACAGCTCTTACTGTCAAAAGTTCTTCCTAATGTTTAGGTGGAATCTTCTTTCTTGTAGTTTGGATCCATTGCTCCGTGTCCGCTTCTCTGGAGCAGCAGAAAACAACCTTTCTCCCTCCTCTATATGACATCCTTTTATATATTTGAACATGGCTATCATATCACCCCTTAACCTCCTCTTCTCCAGGCTAAACATGCCCAGCTCCCTTAGCCGTTCCTCATAAGGCATCGTTTCCAGGCCTTTGACCATTTTGGTTGCCCTCCTCTGGACACGCTCCAGTTTGTCAGTGTCCTTCTTGAACTGTGGTGCCCAGAACTGGACACAGTACTCCAGGTGAGGTCTGACCAGAGCAGAATACAGTGGCACTATTACTTCCCTTGATCTAGATGCTATACTCCTATTGATGCAGCCCAGAATTGCATTGGCTTTTTTAGCTGCCGCGTCACACTGTTGGCTCATGTCAAGTTTGTGGTCAACCAAGACTCCTAGATCCTTTTCACATGTACTGCTTTCAAGCCAGGTGTCCCCCATCTTGTATTTGTGCCTCTCATTTTTTTTGCCCAAGTGCAATACTTTACATTTCTCCCTGTTAAAGTTCATCTTGTTTGTTTTGACCCAGTTCTCTAATCTGTCAAGATCATTTTGAAGTGTGATCCTGTCCTCTGGGGTGTTAGCCACCCCTCCCAGTTTGTTTACTCAGTGCTGGGCGTGATGTCAGAAATTTTACTGGGGGGAGCCAGCAGTTAAATGTGCATGTTTTTTCAGTGCATGTGGCACTGGTGGCTTGTATGCGGTGTCATGTGACACTAGGTAAATTGCTTGGTTTTTAAAGAGGTTGAATTGCCCTAAGCTATTCAGCATCTACAGGGACGCAGGTGGCGCTGTGGGTAAAAGCCTCAGCGCCTAGGGCTTGCCGATCGAAAGGTCGGCGGTTCGAATCCCCGCGGCGGGTGCGCTCCCGTCGTTCGGTCCAGCGCCTGCCAACCTAGCAGTTCGAAAGCACCCCCGGGTGCAAGTAGATAAATAGGGACCGCTTACAAGCGGGAAGGTAAACGGCGTTTTCCGTGTGCGGCTTGGCTCGCCAGAGCAGCGATGTCACGCTGGCCACGTGACCCGAAGTGTCTCCGGACAGCGCTGGCCCACGGCCTATAGAGTGAATGGGCGCACAACCCTAGAGTCTGGCAAGACTAGCCCGTACGGGCAGGGGGTACCTTTACCTTTACCTTTATTCAGCATCTACATCGGCTGGTCTTGCAGGTCCTCTCTCGCCCTGCCTCCCCCATACTAAATTTCATCAAATATGGACTTAAATTATAAAGGGGTAGCCTAGTTTATCTCACTACCAAAGAAATGTAATAAACGAATAGAAAGAGAACCTACCCAGTTGACGCTGACACAAAACCCCACACGTACACTATATAAAAGAATATTAGTTTTACCACCCCTCCTCTCCCCCAACCTTATACAGTACTCAGCACTAATGTCTCATAACAAATGTAACTGATCTGTAGAAAAGACCTTACAACCTGCAAAAAGAGACAATGCACGCACTTTTGTAAACCAAGGAAAAATAATAATTAAAGGCCTTTGATTGGCCACTAGGTGGAGACTAGGTGGAAACTTGCTTATGATGAAAGCCAAAGTCGTATCACCATGAATCCGGGACCCTGATGGGAGCGTGGCCTCAATTCGTTGCTTTGAAATTAATTCATTGTCTACTCTTTTTAAGCCCTTGATCATTATGGTGTCAGGGCGGCATTGAGAGTTTGAGGTGCAGACCTTTCTAGCTGGCTTTTGTCTGTGTCTTGCATACAGTAAGCCTGGTGCTTACGCTGGGGTTACGTTCTGGTGATGGCACCTGTAATGGGTATGAGTTACTCGTGCGTAAACTGGTGCCTTTCTCGGCTAATTTGCCTTGTTAAACCTTTCTGACTGCACAGCCCCTTCTCATCGTGGCTGCCTCAGTCGCTGGCAGAATCCGTCAGTGGGCGTTTCTTGAACCTCTTCCAACATAAAAGTTGTTTGACACCCAGTCTCCTCCTCCTCTCACTGCGCGGGAGTCTTCTGCGCAGGGAAGGCGTGGGTAGCGGAGGACCTGGGCTCTCCTCACTGATGTCCAGTGAAGAGTCCTGGAGCCCTCTCTCCGATTCCCCCGTCTGCCCCCCTTTATCCCTGGTGTTGCGCTGATTGGCTTCCCCCTCTACTGAGCTGTTTCTCCCCCTGCTGCTGGGTCCTTCGCCAGCATCATCTGGGAGCCTCCCCTTCACCTCTCGCTCCGATGTCAGTTCCCTGACAGCACCTAAAGCCAAAATCTTGTAGTCAGAACTCAATGGGTTCAATGGTGGCTAGGATTGCCAAAGTCATTTTCCCCAGAAACCCTGCTCCCTTTCTGACCGCTGACATTTATTTTTATTCTATGCATGCAAAGCTGAATGTACGTAACTTGTGGGCTTATCGTACTGATGAATGCTTTTTAAATAACTTTGAATTCTTCTGACTTTATTGAATCATTTTGATGAATTTGTTGTTGTTTGCTCTATTTATATGCTACTATGTTTGATAAGGGACGCGGGTGGCGCTGTGGGTAAAAGCCTCAGCGCCTAGGGCTTGCCAATCGAAAGGTCGGCGGTTTGAATCCCCGCGGCGGGGTGCGCTCCCGTTGCTCGGTCCCAGCGCCTGCCAACCTAGCAGTTCGAAAGCACTCTTAAGTGCAAGTAGATAAATAGGGACCGCTTACTAGCGGGAAGGTAAACGGCGTTTCCGTGTGCTGCGCTGGCTCGCCAGATGCAGCTTTGTCACGCTGGCCACGTGACCCGGAAGTGTCTCCGGACAGCGCTGGCCCCCGGCCTCTAGAGTGAGATGGGCGCACAACCCTAGAGTCTGTCAAGACTGGCCCGTATGGGCAGGGGTACCTTTACCTTTACCTATGTTTGATAATCTAGTGATTGCAATGTTTGTTTTTTAATGCTGTTGTGCTTATTGTGAGCTTTCTTGAGCTCAGCAGTTGTTGCAAAAGCAGATTACAAATATTAAATCAAAATAATGTACCTCTCCTTGCTTCCGGCAGCCAACTTCCATGAGAGCCATCCGCGCCAGGTACGATCCGTATCTCCAGACTAGGCACCGCGTTGAGCAGGTAAATATTTGCTAGGATGGGAAGAATGTGTCAATGTCTCCTTGATCATGAAGACGGTCATGATTTTGTTTGCCATATTTCTTTTAAAAAAAATTATTTATTTGGTTTTCCAAATTAGCGTTTTACACTCACATATCCAACATACAATGTAAAAACAAGATTCCAAAGAACCTCTTGAACTTCCCTCCTCCCTTTTGTGGGTCCTATTGTTAGTCATTTCCTCCTGCATCTTTTATAAGAATCCAAATCTTTTACATCTCCCTTATATCCAAAATTCACCATTCACTTATGGTCTCTGTGTGTGGTTTGGGAGCTGCACAGTCAGGGGAAAAACAATGCTGTCCAGGGTTGTAAAGACTGCGGAGAGAATAATTGGGTGCACTCTTCCCACCTTGGATCAAATCTACGCTTCCAGGTGCCATAAGAAAGCTGCAGAGATAGCGCAGGATAGTGCGCACCCCGGAAATGATCTCTTTCAGCTTCTGCCTTCTGGAAGAAGGTACAGGGTTATAAAGACTAGGACTAGCCGCCTGAGAAACAGTTTCTACCCAAATGCAATTTTGGCTTTAAACGCAGTGTAAGGGAGTCTTTATGGGAGTATATTGTATTTAATTATGGGGTATCAGAGTTTTTAGGGGCTTACCGGGCTGGGATAGCTGGGATAGCAGGCTTGTTGGTTTTTGAATGTCTGATGGAGATTTTTTTCAATTTCGCTGTTCTGTATGGGACAATATCAATAAAGATTATCGTATCTTATCCTGTGAAGTGCTTTTCAGGCACCCCTCGTGGATGATGGTCCCTGCAAACACCCTTTCAGCTGAGACAGATTTTTACTTGCCCCATACCTGTTATATATGATGTCAGCTGTGTGGAGATTTACGATATTGGCGCGACTCCCGCTAATTGATTTATGGCCCTCAATTAGCTCTTTACTGTCCGGCACACTTCCCTGGTCGCCCCCTCTGAAAATGGAACAGGTGTCATTTTCAAAGCACATTTTGGAACCCCTGCTTCATTAGAGCAGATACAGATAACCGACAACTATTCAGTCCCGGCACAACGTAGACCTCTTGCTCCTCCTGTAAAGGAGAGAAAAACACGTTAGCCACACCACAGACTGCTTTTTGTGCTCCGTCTGCGAATAAAACAATTGTTCCTGTTGAAAACAGCCCTGCAGTCCCGCAGTTTGCCTATCAGGTGCTGCCTGATAGCAGAAACCAAAACACCCAGCGTGTCACCGTGTCCTGGCTGGAGTTGTTCTTCACAGTTGCCATAGAAGCAGTGATAAGAAACAACCCTCCCCAGTGTCTGAGACACGTCTTTCCCTTGCGTTCCCACGCTGGCGTCCTCTCCCAGACTGACTCCCGTGGGAACTCAGCTGGTTGACCTTGGACCTTCCTGCCCAGCTGTCTCCGCTCTCCATGGGCAGCAGCGTCGCAAGCGTCCCGCATTACACGTGTAGCAATGACGAACTCCAGTGGAAAAACACTGCTCCGGGGCTCCTCCCAGCTGGCCTCCTTCTCCTTCTTCCGGAAAAGCACTCCTTGCCAGCTCCGCCCCCTCTGAACCTCCACTTGATTCCAGCACGTACAGTGGAAAACTTTAAACGTGCCTTTGGAAATCTTCGCCCCCCCCCGACCTGCTCAGCAGCACTCCTTGTGGCTAAAGCATCAGGGACAGGGGCTCCAGCCATCTCTAGGCTTTTGTATTCCCTTCTCCAGGGCTCTGGCCTTTGCTGAAGCTTCACAGCAAACACAGCACGTTTCCAAGCAGCCCTTTTAGACTCTGCAAACCTGGCAGCAACGGCAGCAGTACCAATAGTCCCTTTGCCCCCCTCTGGGGCCCACAGCCTTTCCCAGCTGTGCACTGGCTCTCACGAAGGTGATCCAGCGCCATCTTGCTTTCTGTTCTGAAGCAGCCATCTCCCAGCCCTTGCTTCCGCCTCCAGCCTCATAAACACCCTGGAGCGCTGAACGACCTCTGGCTTCCTGGCACCCAGAACAGTAGACTTCAGATCAGCAGCCAGGTTGCCCAACTTCTTAAAGTGAGCCTCCCACAGTCCTCCAAGACCTGGCAGCCTGCCATTCTCTTCCGTTCTCCCAAGGGGCCCCAAGCTGTACTCACAAGCTTCTCTGGCTCTCCCTTCCGTGGAGAAACGATTTCTCAGCTGCTTTTCAGCTCCGCAGCTCTAGCTGGTCCCAGCACTCAGCAACACAGGCAGCCACCGTCTCCTGCCGAACTTCAAACGCATTCCGGCAGCTTCTTCAGTGACAGTTTTACAAGCGGTGATTTAGGTCATCCATAACCTGTGGAGATTTACGATATTGGCGCGACTCCCGCTAATTGATTTATGGCCCTCAATTAGCTCTTTACTGTCCGGCACACTTCCCCTGCCGCACGCTCTGCTCCGAGCTCTTTCGTCCACGCCAGTAGCAGAGTTTCACACAGCGGTGTAAAACTGTCACGTAGCTCGTCTCAGCTCGTCTCAGCTTCCAGACAAACACACAGAGCCCGGTTTGTCTATTTACAGCTCTTTATTCCGACATTCCCCCAGGAATCTCCTGGGCTCCTTTCCGCCATTACCGGCTACGTCTTTCTCCCTCAAAGACCAGAGGGGAACAGACAGAAACTCCTCCCAGGCTCCTCCCAGCTTCCAAAAGCTGACGTCAGAATTGAGGCATCATGGGAACAACTTAACCAGTTAAGTTCCAACTCCCATAAGCTGTAGGGTGTGTCTTGGCCAAAATGGCCTCAGGAGCCAAATGGAGAGATCTGGATGTCCAGCGATCGTTTTCCCCCTCCAGGAGTTGCCCAGAGTGGCCAGGGCAACCCAGTCAGATGGGCAGGGCACAAGTAATAAATAATTATTATTATTTCAGCTTCTGCATCTCCCTATCTTCTGAAAGCCACAAGGCAGTTGTCTCATGTGTTCATCTTACTTTTTGCAGCTGAAGCAGTTGGGTCACAGTGTGGACAAAGTGGAGTTCATTGTGATGGGCGGGACGTTCATGGCTCTTCCCGAAGAATACCGGGATTATTTTATCCGCAACTTGCACGACGCTTTATCGGGCCACACCTCCAACAACGTGGCAGAGGCTGTCAGGTAAGGTGCCCCCTCGGTTGCAGGCGCTGAATGGCTGTTCTCGTTTTTTGTGTGGTTGGCTTGGTTTTCTTGCATCGGGAAGCTACGCAGTGTAAGGAGCTGCGTAAGGCAGCCTTCGTCAGCCTGGTGTGCTTCCGATGTTTCGGGGCTGGGCTTCCAACTCCCATCAGCCCTGGCCAGCATGGCCAATGGTGAGGGATGATGGGAGTTGTAGTCCAGAACATCTGGAGAAGCACACTGGATGTGTGCTAAGTCCTTACCTGTATTCATTGTATACATACGATTGTGTATCATCTGACCCGTCTACTGCAATTATTAAGTTTGCAGATGACACCACCACAGTGGGTTTAATAACAGGTGGAGGCGAATCAGCGTATAGAGGGGAGGTCCAAAAAATATCTACATGGTGCCTAGGGAACAACTTGCACCTTAATATCAGCAAGACAAAGGAGATGGTGTTGGACTTTCAGAGAAAGAGAGGAGAACTAGCCCCGCTGTACATTGGGGAGGGCTGTGTGGAGAGAGTTTCTTCCTTTAAATTCCTAGGAGTTTATCTCAGTGAAGACCTTCCTTGGAAAATAAATACAACCCAGGTGGTTAAGAAAGCCCAACAGAGACTCCATCTCCTCAGAGTATTGCGGAAGAACGATGTCAATCAACATTTGATGATCTCCTTCTACCAGTCCACAATAGAAAGTGTCCTTTCCTACTGTATCACGGTGTGGTACGCTGGTTTGACATCATCTGATAGGAAGTGCCTACAGAGGGTGGTGAATACAGCACAAGATATTATGGGCTGTCCCGTGAATCCGCTGGATGAAATAGCGGAAGAACGTTGCCTCAGGAGAGTGAGGAAAATTCTCAGGGATGATTCACACCCTGGCCGGCACTTTCTTGATCTCCTGCCCTCGGGCAGAAGATATAGAAGCATGATTAGTCGCCCCAACAGGGTAAAGAACAGCTTCTATCTGTGGGCTGTTAGGCTGCTGAATGAAAAGATAACAGCAGGGCAACTGACTTTTGGGTTTGGTGGGTGTGCGTCAGTAAACGAGGGGAATTAAGACTAAGAGAGCTAAGTGGGGGGTGCTGGTGTAATCTCACTGCATACAAGTTGTACAAGTGACAATAAAGAATTTCAATTTCAATTTCACTAGGCTGGTGAAGGCTGGCCAAAAAGGTTCATTGGCAAGAAAGATTTATCAAGCTGTTTGGAATGAATCTTCCAGTGATGAGTTGGTTTTTCTCTGAGATGATTTTTCGGAAGCTTATTGGATAGTGGAAGTTGGGGTTACCTGGTACAGAGGACTGTGCCTCTCTGATAGTTGTGCAGGGGTGGGATTTGGGCACATGTGGAAGAAGCGTTTGAGGAGTGTATCGTTAAAGCTCTGGGTTGCAGCCAACATTAGTCCTACTTAAGAGTAGACCCATTGAAATGAGCCCAGCTGTCTACTCACTGAACCAGCTAGGCTTCTGTAGCCACATATCTTTCTGCGCAACCGTAAAGATCAAGAAAAATCAGGCACAGTGTTCAGCCTAAGTTTTTGATAGGGCTCTTCCTCTGGAGGGCAGCAAATACTTAAAATATCCCTTTCCATATTTTCCCGTTCCGTTCACTGATGTTGCTTGCTTGAGGCACCTCCTCATATTACGCTGCTGTTCTGGAGTGAGATGGCACCCCCGCACCCCCCATTAGTCATTTCAGTGTCTGCAAGCATGCAGCAAAAGTATTGTCTGGTGAATAGCCCACACCACTGGCTGTGTGGTGCTGCATTGAACTGACATGTTGCAGACTGGGCTCTCCCATTCACAGGCAACCTCTGGCCCTAATTGGCCACACCAGGCCCCTCTGTTTGGCCCATGAGGCCATTTTGACCAAGCCACATCCACCTGGCCTACACCTGACATCATGTTGAGTGTGGGGAAAGTACAGATGCGGCTGGCCTGCTCCAAAAACATGGTTGTGGGTGCTGCTGACCACCTGACTGGTGGCATCTGCCAAAGCTGGAGCTTGCATAGAACGCTGCACAGTGCTTTGAAGCCCCAGCTGATTGTTGGGCCTTCAAAGCACCGCATGGGGGGGGGAAACAGCTCCTGGAAGATGTCACTGTGACGTGTGATGATTGACAGGAGGTTGGCCCTATCCATCTGTCACGCTTGGCCCTCAGAAGGGTAAGGAAAATCAGGATCCAGCCTGGGTGGGCTGATCAAGTGGAACATGCCTATTAATTTCAGTGGGTCTGTGCAATGATTAATGTTGGATACAGCCTCAAATAAAAATGTCCCGGGCTTTCTCTCTAGACCAGGAATTTGGAATCAGTAGCCTGGATCCACCCCACCTCCACTGCCCAACAGGTGGGTGAGGGTGTCCACCTGTTAATCACCTCATGCCATTACAGCTTCAGAGGAGCTCACCTTGTACTTTTTGTGTTTCGCTTCGACTTTGTCTTACTGATTTTATTTATTCATTTATTAAAAAATATTTATGTACCACTATGTCTTAAGATAAAATAAAATAAGGGATGCGGGTGGCGCTGTGGGTTAAACTACAGAGCCTAGAGCTTGCTGATCAGAAGGTCGGCAGTTTGAATCCCCGCGACGGGGTGAGCTCCCGTTTCTCGGTCCCTGCTCCTGGCAACCTAGCAGTTTGAAAGCACGTAAAAGTGCAAGTAGATAAATAGGTACCACTCTGGCGGGAAGGTAAATGGCGTTTCCGTGTGCTGCTCTAGTTCGCCAGAAGCGGCTTAGTCATGCTGGCCACATGACCCGGAAGCTGTACGCCGGCTCCCTCGGCCAATAAAGCGAGATGAGGGCTGCAACTTCAGAGTCGGTCACGACTGGACCTAATGGTCAGGAGTCCCCTTTACCCTTTACCTCTATGTCCTAAGAAACACACAAAGCAATAAAACACAAAGGCCGTGCAATAAAAACCACAAAAAGGTTAAAAACAGGCATCACTCAACCATTGTGGGAGAACGTACCCCTAATTGCCTGCATAAGCCTAGTGGAAAAGAAAAGCTTAACCGTTTAAAAGTTGGAGCGGAAGGTGCCCGCAGAATCTCTAGTGGCAGGGAGTTCCACAGGACTGGGCTGTTGACACTGAAGGCTCAGTTTCTTCTTGTTGTCGAATGAGCCTCGCCAATTCGGGGAATGCCAGACAATGCTCCTGCCAGTGATCACAGTGATGGAGCTGGGACATAAGGTTTAAGGTGACCCCTATTTGACACTGCTTTAATGGCTTCAGGCTGTGAAGCACTTTATTGTTTGTAAAATAAATTTTAAAGCGCCCAGTTAGTGGAGAGTGCGAAAGCGGGTCCCTGCCCCTGGCAAATCCTTCCCAGCCCCACACCCTGGTCAGTATGTGTGTGGTTGTGGGGACTTCATTTGTCACTATCCGCAGGCTGCCAAGCTGTTGTTAATCTCTTTGTGGAGATGCAGAATCTCCTGGCTGCCATGTTCCAAGGCTGCAATGGGCTCCTGCGCTCGCAGAGTGATCTTGCTGCTCTGTGGGCTTTCTGACAAGGTAGCAGGTAGCCAGAGACAGTGGAAAGTTCCAGCAGGAGCTCTTTCTCTCAGGCAACATTGATACCTGGGGGAGCTGGCAGGGGTTGGGGGGAGCTGGCAGGGGTTTGGGGGGGTGTTGCAGGATCCGCTCACCCAACCGCAAGGGATTTTCCATTTGTCAAGAGCGCCTGTCACTGCTGATGAACGAAGTTTTAATTTTATCTCTTGAGAACACAAGGCATTAAGGGGATTTCAGAACATTTCCTGGATCTCTATCAAACAAGGGGGGGGGGGGACTTGGCGATAAGGCACAAAGCAGCCCTTCGTGGGAGGACAGCTGTCTGTATGGCAGAAGACCCATTATTCTGCTGTCGGCTTTCCCCCCCTTCCTTCTTCTGGAGAAAGGCTTTCACCTGTAGGCATAGGAATGCAAAATTCCGCTGGGGAATTGTGAAGGTTGGGGGATGTTTGAGCCCAGAGAGGGGCTTAAATCCTAGGTGCAAATTCTCTTTATCTCCCTTTCCCCCTCTGACTCATTTCTGGCGAGGGGAGAGATGCTGATCCCGTTGTGTGACTCACCCTCTGCAAAACGGAGCAAAGTGAAGTTGAAGTTGCTGTGAAGTTGCCGGCAACTTTTGGCAAGGGAAAGGGAGAAAAGATAAAGCTGCGTTCCAATCAGGCGCTGTTCAAAGAGGCTTAAGAGGCTTCCAAACAAATTGGAAGATGGAGGGCAAATCTTTCAGCTGTGCTGGGCTTATTTTGCCGATGGGAAAGAGGCTAGAGCATGAGTAGGCAAACTAGGGGCCGGATCCGGCCCAATTGCCTTCTAAGTCCAGCCTGCGAACGGTCCGGGAATCAGCATGTTTTTACATGAGTAGAATGTGTCCTTTTATTTAAAATGCATCTCATAAAAAAGCATATTTGTGGAGCCTTCCTGGAGTTTTACATGAGTAGAATGTGTGCTTTTATTTAAAATGCATCTCTGGGTTATTTGTGGGGCCTGCCTGTTGTTTTTACATGAGTAGAATGTGTCCTTTTATTTAAAATGCATCTCTACGTTATTTGTGGGCCATAGGAATTCGTTCATTCCCCCCCCCAAAAAAAAAATATAGTCCGGCCCCCCACAAGGTCTGAGGGACAGTGGTGGACCCAGTGGCGTAGCATGGGTTGTCAGCACCCGGGGCAAGGCAAGTAATTTGCGCCCCCTAACCCGGAGCAGGGTCCCCATAGATCCCCTCGTGAGTGCGAGCGCCCCCCTAGATGTTGCACCCGGTGCGGCCGGCACCCCCTGCACCCCCCACGTTATGCCACTGGGTGGACCGGCCCCCTGCTAAAAAAGTTTGCTGACCCCTGGGCTAGAGGACTCACTTGTCGAAAGCTTAATTCTGCAGTGTCCAACATATATATGTGTCCCCCCGCTACTGTAATTCAGAGGGAAGGTGGGCCCTCCTTCCTTGGAGGCTTTTAAGCAGAGGTTGGATGACCATCAGTTAGGGACC